GTTGCCCTGCTTGACATTTATTTATACTAGACCTGTCAAGCAGGGCAACCAATAGAATCAACAGAAACAGCCTGAGCTTAGCCAGCTGCGCCTTAGCCAATCAGGTGCGGCTCAGCAGTTGCCGGCTGTCAGGACTTCAGACCGGTCGCAAGTCAAGGGCATAACAAAATGGCAAGTTTTAGTAATGAACCATATCTTGTTTTTATATTCAAGTACACATTCTACTGCAATTAACAATGATCAATAAGCTATACAGCTAATTAAAACAGACATCCCAAGATAATTTATTACTCTTTTTAATCACAGCTTTCTTCAAACAGTTCATAGAAGCATACACAAATACAGAGTCATTGTCCTGTCTTTTATCCTAACAACCCAGCAAAGACTAGGTTATTCAATGCCTCCAGTATTCAATGCCTTCAGCAGGAGTACAGCCTTACCACTGAAAGAATGGGTTTCACTGTGGTTTCTAGATACTGAACCACTTCTTGGACCAGACGGGAACCCAAACTGAGTTGATTCAAATCAAGAGGGGATTTTAAGCATCGACTGAACTTCTCTCTGGCAGCAGTCAGGTTTCCAGCTTTAAGACAAGCCATGCCCCATGCATGCCATGCTCCACCGGGATCCAGACCAGTCTTAGTAGAAACCTAAAAACCAGGTTACCACAAAGAATTAAGATTTTAAAAAGATTCATTCTTACAATAGCTAAATTATTTAAAAAATATAGACTTGCTATAGTTAAGTTATTTAAAAAAATATAGACTAAGATAACTAAAAAGGGCATTTCATAAGTACTGTCCACATGCATCAGAGGTTTATACCACTATGGATATAACAAAAGCCTACTGACTGTCATTAGAATTACTGTTTGCCTAATAAAAGTTAGAAATATACACTTTTTTCCAAAAAGAAGAAAATCACTCTGAGAATTTCTGTTCACAATATAATATTTCCTTTTTATCAAAGAATCATTTGTTTTACTGAAACTCAGATGGTAGAATACCTTTTTCAATACCTCAAAAAATGAGTAACTTTTTAAATAGCATTAGAGGTAAGTCACAGCTTATAGGAAAAAAAACCTGTAGCTTAGAGGCTGAGCACACAGTAAAATCCCAAATTCAACTTTTAGCATGTTAAGGTAGAGGTAGGAGAGGGTTCTGTAACAAGCTCCAAATATTTCTGATAATTAGTAAAGAATATACAAATTAGATGAACCACTAGTAGGGTAAGAAATACAATTAATCATGATTATCTACATCATTAACANAACATATATCCAACCCCTTTCCAAAATGAAGATATCGTAACTCTCCTCATTTAAGCGCTAGATGGGGTGCTTGAGTATCCCATTAGCAAATTAGGTTTATTAGATTTAGATTTATATGCTGCCCTTCTCCCAAGGACTCAGGTTTAAGAGTTATGTCATCCTTATGTCTTAAATTGTAGGTTTAAGACATAAGGATGACATAACTCATTCATTGGCTATGAAAGAATCACTAGCAAAGTGGGACTTATGTTTGGCTTTCTAAATATTCAATAATAATGTAAGACAGAAGAAAAAATATCTGTGTCTCTGTGTCTCTTCCCTAACACTACAAGAAGCACAACTAGTGTTTCCCTTTTTATGTTAATTTGTATTTTAATGTAAGATGTTAAAACTTAATAAAGATAATTTTTAATAAAAGAAGTCAATGTTACCTCAGCAGGGATAGAATCAAACTCATCCAAGCAACTGAGGATGACATTGTCCCCATCATTTTTATCTGCAGCACCAGATTCCTTGATACATTTAATGAGCTGCCTGATCTCACTGTAGCTCTGCTGCTTCACCAGCTGCCTAGCCACTTTATTGTATATAGCAGCAACATCCAGCTGGAAGTCCTAAGAAGATAGACAAAATATTACTTCGAGAACGATGATGTACTGTACAAAGAAATAAGCTAGTTGACGTTTCAATCATTAAAAGGGACATACAAATAAAAACTGAAAGAATGATTTGGTTAACTTTTCTATACTGTATTTCCAAAAGACACCTGTTAAAGTTTTGAAGGGTTTTCTGAGAAGGACAAAGGAAAAATGAGAAGAAATCAAGTTCTAGAACTTAATGGAAGGGATTAAAACCAAGTTAAAAGTAAAGAGAAGGAATATAAAATTGGTTTATTTGATCAATATTAAAATAGATATGTGGTTTATCCTGGTAACACTTAATGGTCTTTTGCTGATAAAGAATGAATCATGAAGTTTTAAGATATTGTTTATAATTAAGAGATAAGATATGAGAAGAGAGCTTTTGCTCTATTTTAAGAGAATGATAAGTTACATTTGTGATGAAGGGGGAAGTTACTTCTTTACACATTTCTTTTTCTTTTCCATTTTCTTTTCTTTTTTTTAATTTCATTTTCCGCATTTTGTAATTTTTCTTTTTAACTCACACATATTCTAGTTTATATTAGTTTCTATCTTTTCAACTGTAATATTTAATAAAAGTATTATTAAAACTTCAAATGAATATCTAAAATTACATTAAAATAATGCAGTGGTTTGCTTGAACTATTTCAATGTCATGTGTAAAGAGTCAACATTAGATATAAAGCTTTTTCATTCAATATACCTGCAGTATTCTAAATGAAATCCCAAATCCTTCTTCAATGTTTTTGCCTTCCAACATGACCTGATGAAAAATTGCAGCCACAGAAAAAGAAACAAAAGGGAAAATTGAGTGACTTATGTGAATGAAAAGCCATCTGGAGCTTTGGGAAAAGCTCCTGTAATAACAACGTATTATATTTTTTCCCCTGAATTTCAGCCATAGAATTGCCATGTTAAGACTACAATGAAATCTCTGAGTCACTATTCTTTCAAATCAAAATTCACAATGAAAATGCTATGTGACTTTTTGGGTTAACTTCAATAAACAATCTACATGTTTTTGGTGTGGAGTTCACCAATCTCTGTTCAGCCTTCCATTTCAATATGTAAAACCACACTAATAAATTTAAGTGGAATTCCATACCTTACAAACAACCTCAATCTTCATTTGATTGTTTCCAAATAGGGTAGGCACAGGTAAATCACCTACAGATAAAGTTCCCGACTTTTCACAACGATGGAGGAATTTTGTTACTTCCATCTGAAGTTCAACTGTATTGATGTGCCTAATTTAGGGAAATATGTTTTAGTGCATATTCTAATAAATAAATGCAGACAATTATTAAAATAACATCCAAAAGAAAATTTTTAGATGAAATTCAAAACATGAATTAGAAACCCTAATTAAAGTGGGCCATTCAGGTAAATCTGTGTGCTCTTACAGAAAAGTCCTGAATTAAATGTTATTACATTACTACTAAATAGTTTAATAACAAATTGTTGACTGATAAAAACGTTGCCCAACTTTTGTTTTATTAATACCTTGATACATCTGGAGCAGACATTTTCTTGCGAAAAGAGCATGCAAACTTTTTTCTTCCTGAACTTCTAGAAACTTCTTGAAGATAAACTTTAAGATGGTCCTTGACCTTTAAGAGCCATTTTTGCCTTTCTTTCAGCTCAGTGTAAGACTTTGCCTTGTCTGTGAAAAATCTAATGCAGGTCATAGCAGCACGGACTTGATCCTGGAAAATAGAGAGGTTTCTGAAGACAAACGAAGCTTTCAAATTATATTATCTGATCAGTTGAGATAACATTTGAGCTTTATTTTTCAAAATAGGTTCTGGTATAATTCTGAGTTTGGGGAGCCACTGCTTAACATATTTTGCTATACAGTAGAATCTGAACCTGCTCAGAAAACTCTGTGTATATTAAATACTTCATGTAATCCCGTCTCCATTGTAAATACTGAGAAAGAGGGAAGTGATACCAGAACTCTTCGTAACTCATTTATGCCTTTCCATCATTTTGTTCTTTCCAAAAAATCTATTTAAAGGGGGAAAATTCAACAAGACATCCAAAGGGGTGTCATTTGACTTTTATCGTTTCAAATTCAAAAGAATCCTCAAATATACAGGAATACATATATATGAACTTATGTCAGAAGTCTACCATTTATAAATAACTTCACCACATATTAAATATTTCTGAGGCCATGAGACTAGCCTTTAAATTTTTCTTCTGCAATTTTTCCCAAACCTGAGGTAACCCCATCATCCACAGGTATTCTTTTTTTTTTTTTAACTGGGAATAGCTTTGAAAAATTCTTCCAAATAAACAAAAGCATACCGGTATATCCTAAAAAACAGATATAAAATCCCCATTTTCTACAAAAGAAGGTGGTTGTGAGGTTGGTTAGGCTGAGATAGAGAGACTGGTTCAAAAACACCTAACCGGCTTTCATGCCCAAGGATGATCTACTGTAAAACTACAGTCTCCTACGGTAGTTACTAGGCCAGCAACTTAACTACTACAACAAACTGGCTAAGTACCACATTTTTGTGTGTAAAGTTCTCAGTAAATTTTGCAATGCTTATGTTATAGGAAGACATTTCAACTCTTACTTTCATAAACTGCTGCAGTTCATACAAGATATGGTAGTAATTCTTTTTCTGCAAGTGTTTGCAGGCTGCAATGAGATAGATACCCCAGCTCTCTAGTCCTGGATCTATGGTTTCCAGCAAGTTCTCCAACATGTGAAGTTTTCCACTTTTATAACTTGGGGTAAAGATGCCTTCGATAAATAAATCTGGTGGACTTTCCTTAAACAGTAAAAAAAAATCCAACTATTAAATCAGCTGGTACCATCTATGCCATTAGTCTGAGAAGAAAAGCTTACATGATCAGAATGTAGTTAGTTATATACTGCTATAAAACAGAACTTTATTTTTCTCACTTTCAAAATGTTTTTTTTATGCGAAAGTGAGCACAGCCACTGCTGAAACATTCCCTATTCAACAGAACCTTGGATTCTAAACAACCAATGAGTAAGCGTAATTCCAGGATATTTGCCGAGCATCAGGCAAGGGAAACCTAAGAGAGGCAAGCTAAATTGAACCTTCTCTTGGTACTCTGTGAATAGTTTCTGAAGAATCTGCAGTTCTAACAGTGAAAAATGAACTTCTCAGGTGATAAGTCTCCGAGCACTCCCACCCTTTAGAGGGAGAGATATTTTTATGAAGTGATAGGTTCTCTCTAAGAAAGAAAGTAAACTGTCAGGCCTGGAAGCCATCTTTTGCATTGGTCCTTCAGGTCTGCCACATTTCAAGTTGTGGGAAAATGGGAGGGGGGGTTATATGGAGTGTGGGAAATAAGAGAGTCACAATAACATTCCTTTCTCAGAGAGTCAAGGGCATTTTGCCCTGCACCTGGAGGGGCATGGCTGGGAGGCATCTCCAGTTGGGACGGTGCCTGATTGGGCCATGTGATGGACATGTGGGTGCTGGGTAGTTTTCAGATTCGGATTTTCTCAGCTGTGCCAATACGACACCTCTAGTAAAATGGAACTTTGAGGAACTTCAAGCCTCGGAGTCTTCTTTAGTTGGGGATGTTATTTGAAAACCGACATAAATTGTAGGGTTTATTCCTAGATAATGACAACAAAATAACAAACAAGGTTCTCTATGTTCTATGTTCAAAGGTTCCAACAGTGACTAAAATACTTATAATTGTGGAAGAATTGCCTCCCACCATTTGCTAGTATAATGGTAACTTCATTTTATTGATAGCTATTTTAGATAGATTAGATGAAGCAAATGCAGCAGAGCTTCCCGCATACAGTTATGCCTCATATAAAAATATGAATCACAGGAAAGTTAAAACTACTTCTATTGAGTTTGGATTCATCAACTTGCAAGTCTGATTCTTGCAAGTTGCAACTCCTCCTGCTTATAGTTTGGTGACTTAGTGAGGTAGCTGCCTGAGCTGCATTCAAACGTCATCTCATTGTGCACTTGAAGAAAGCTTTAGCTTCTTCTGCCTAAGCCTTGAGGTTGCTATAAAAACAGGAATCTTATTGGGGAAGAAGATTTCCAGAAGATTCAACAACAACAAACTAAATCAATCAATTTTATCCTTCTAATAGTATTCTTTATTTATTCGCCAACATACTTTAACAGCTGGATTAGAGAAATAACAACAGATAATAAATTCAACACTAAAGAAAAGGACAGCTCCTACCAAGTAGTTTCTTAATTCAAAATACTCATTCAGACAAGCTTTTTAGAGATCATCTAAGAGTTTAAATTTACACATGTGTAGGATACCTGAATTATATCGAAACATACAGGTTTTAATTCAAGGAAAACTGATATCATCCAAAGAACACTTTTACTGTATATCAATGAAGATTTGGGCAAACAAAAAGTTGGATTAAAATGCACATTTTTGGTTATTTTATTTCAGTTTTCTTGTCATTTAGGTTGCTGTTTTAACAGGGGATACTTTAATTGTTTAATGATAGCTGTAATTGAAATTTTTAAGAGGTATTTTGATTAAGTTTTATAAATTAATAAATGAATGAACAAACAGTTGATGGACTTGCCGTCTCTCTCCTATTCCCAAGGACTATTCTCCAAGAAAAATGGCAAGGGTTAACAAAAACAAATTTATAACCAACAGAATATGAAAGTTATGAAACACGCTTTGGTCAATTTACAGACATGGACTTTATTTTCCAAGTCCTTAATCAGATTCCAGTAGAATGGAGTTTCCCTACCTTATTTAACAAATGCAGCAGAGCTTCCCGCATACAGTTATGCCTCATATAAAAATTAATGATTGCTAGATTGGTGCCATAATTGTGCAAGTAGAAAAGGCATTCCTGATAATAGCTGTTGTGTTGCATCTTCCCCTCTGGTGTCATCTCTAGAGACAGGCTTCGTGTCCTCAGTATCGCCTCCAGTTCTTTCAGAGTGGCAAAATAGTCATCATCCTGCTATTAAGGGTGAGAATCAGAAGTCACAGGCTGAATTCAGAACGTTTATTGACAGAACACTGAAAAACATTTTTCTCCTAGTGGAAATGGGCCACGTTACCCCACAACTGCTATTTTAGAAAAAATATAGAGATTTGAAACTGTTTGTGAAACAGAACAGAAACTTTATGAGGAAAAAAGGGAGGAAGTAATTTCCTCCTTCCCAAATCTTCCGGAATAGGAGATTTCTAGTTACTTTTCTCTTAGGCAGGAAATCTGTCATACTTCGACAAAATGTGTTAGATGCTGTGAGGACAGAGGAGGTGTGGAAAGGCTGAGGTAAATTAGAACAGCTTTTATTAACAGAATGAGAGTCAACGGTAACTATTTACACTCGCATCTTGCCCTGTTTGACAGTTATTTATACTAGACCTGTCAAGCAGGGCAAGATGCGAGTGTAAATAGTTACCGTTGACTCTCATTCTGTTAATAAA